GCTTTATGAAACCTCTGAGTTATTTTTCTGTCTGGAGCAACCTTGTGTATAGTTTGTGTTTCTTGCTAACAATAGGTTTTATTGGACTGCTGAAAAAACAAATATGCTGAAACAGTGAGGCAAAAGGAGATGCTCTTGTTTTATCATCCAAGAAAGCACATACATCATTTGGGGCTCATTAACCCACATCAAGTCATCTAAAGAAATTTCCTGTTTGACCTCCCACTTCATGTATTTTCAGTACCAGTTAACAATTTAGGTCTATGTTGGGCCTGCCAGAATCTCCCAAATACCTAAACTGAGATAGATACACTGTTGAACACGTAGGTATACCTTACAACTTGGGGAGTTATAATAGTTTGAATAAAAATTGTTTTGGAGGAATAAGTGCCTGTCAGATTCAATCTGTTTCAAGCAGATTCTGCCAGCTTTTGCTCATTCTAAGATCCATAATATTTTCTTCCATTTTCCTTACTGATTAATTCTATGGGAATAGTTATCATGGGAAAATAATCATACGCTCACAGAATGGTTTGAGTTGGAAGGGAGCTCAAAGACCATCCAGTCCCAACCTCCTGCCATGGGCAGAGCTGCCACCAGCTCAGGCTGCCCAGGGCCCCATCCAGCCTGGCCTTGAGCACCAAGGATGGGGCATCACAGCTTCTCTGGGCAGCTCTGCCAGTGCCTCACCACCCTCTGAATAAAAGAATTCCTTCCTTATGTCTAATTTAAATCTTCTGCCTTTTAGCCTAGAGCCATTACCCCTTGCCCTCACTGCGCTCCCAGATGAAGAGTCCCTCCTCAGCTTTCCTGTAGGCCTCTGTGCTTCTACTGACACACTTACCCAGGCAAACTTTCTGGGTAAATCCAAGTAGGAATAGTTGAAAATGGAATGAAAGTGACTTACTGTATCAGAGCTGAATTAATACTTTACTAGATTGTTTGACTGATTGATTTTATTGCATTTTTATTACCTAATCTTTAGGCTTTTTTTCTAGTTTACTAGTGTCCCAAGTGTGAGAGTTTTATCCATTTTTAAGCTAGTTTACTAAGCACTTGAAGCCAAATTGGAACCTTTAGATGGTGGATTTCTACAATGTAGCAAAATAGCCTCATGCCTCAGGCTGACTTAGTTTCTCAAATCGTGGGTCAAACACTGCTGAATTTTTTAGTCATATCCACTGAAACCACGAAAAAATACATTTTCATGTGTCATCTTGGGAAAGGAGAAATGTATGCAGGTTATTTTCATTTAATTTAAGGGTTTTGCTCATGACTTATAAAAATGGTATTTCACACCATTCAAAACAATGACACCAAGTGGTTTTCTTCTGCATTGTTCCCCACCAAAGGATGTGTGTTCAGGGATATATTTTATCATTCTGGTGCTGAATTGCCCCTTGCACATTCACCTTATCGATGTTAGGGATTTTTTAATGACTCCTTAGCAGTAAGTGATAAAGTCCTTTGGAAATTAGTCTGCTGAGATAATCCCACTGAATTATGACCATTACAAACCCATGAGCTCAGATTTAACCATATGCATTCTGCAAATAGAAATAAATGTTGTACTGATCTGCAAATCTGATCTTTTGGGGTTTTTTAACAATAGATTTTTCCACTGTTTATGGCAGTACTGCTGCATTGGTGAAGTCACTTGAAGTTCATAAGTTGTGGGCATTTTGTATCTTTTCATTCTTCTGAATCTATGATGAGCAAGGCTGGACAGTGTGACAGCAGTGCCAAACAGTGGGAGAGGTTCTGGAGCTTTCTTACATGTTAATAGTGGTGCTGTAGTTCCATTAGCTTCTTCAAAAATACTTCTTAGTCCATACGGTGCCCATTCCTACAGAAAGTCCAGCAAAAATAGTCAGAATTGGATTCTCTTGTCCATCTATCGGCATTTGCAAAGTTAACCACCATAACGTTTTCCATGTTGTTCTACTTTTGGTTAGTTAAAACTGCAATCAGACACCTTGTACTTGTAACGTTTGTATAGAATACTTAAATACCAAAAATGCAAAAGCACTTTATACAAACAGAAATCACTGCACTATTCACTGGAATAAAGCTGTTTCAAGGTGAAATGGGAATCTGCTGCATAAGGGCATTTTCTATAGAATGTTGGTCTGAAGAAGTAAGGAGCTCATAAATGGCTGGATCTGTTGACATATGTGGGTCTAGTATTTTCATTTTGTCAGAAAGCTCTCACTTCTGGCATCATGCTGAGTATGTAAGTTCAGGAATGACTCAGAGATGTGAATCACATACAACACCCCCCAGAGTCCCCTGGGTCTTCCTTGAAGGTTTTGTGACTGTGCTTCTTTTGTGAGCTTAAATAAGATCATTTAAGCCCCAGGCCATGTTACTCAGTTGTCATATATTGCCATTTTGGGGGATTATTTGGAAAACTCTTTACCACCAATATGTTCAAGGTATGCAAAAATTTCTGCATGTAGTACACCCTTTTATGTTCTATGTGTTATCTGTGTTATACAGGAAGGATTTCTCTCAATGTCACACATACACCTACACCCCTCAAAATTCGTAAACGATATACAGTCAGCAGTATCTGTTCAAAGGAAGAACTATAAATACTGTTCTTGCATTACAGCATGCTGTAAGCCTTTCTTATTGTGCGATGCTGTTAAGTCTCCACTTTTACCCCAGATTGGAAATGTGCTGTGGCAAGGTTCCTTGGTAAGGCTGTGTGCAGTCTGAATAGTAACCAGCATGCAGAAACTTGAATAAGAAGATTCATGAAAAATGAAAATATTCCTGAAATTTCTTTAAACACAGCAGCATTTAATGAAAATAATAGATCTGTTTTCAGTAGAATAAAATTATGGTGCAGTATGCTCTCTGACATTAAATCATAACAAACTCCTTTGTGCACCTTCTGGAAAGTATCATATTTTCATATGTTCTTAAATGTGAAAAACAGAGATCTGGAAACTTTGACGATAGTACAAAACTACCATCTCCATGTGTCTTTTTCTGCTCTTTAGCAGGCTAGTTCAGTGTCCACTAAAGTAAATGGAAATATTTCTGTTTATTGCCGTGCTATTGGATTCATCCTTCTATATGTTGCCCAATGACTTATTTCATGGTCGCTCTCCTTCGCTATTCATTATTTTTACCCTTCTGTATGTTTAGATAAAGAAGTTCCTAACGCTAATGATTCATTCTGTTTAGTGCTACTAAGTGATTCTTGGTTTTGCTTTATTATCACATGAAGCTAGTGTTGGCAGGGGTGAACAAGAAAGACAAGGCAGAAAATTAATGGCTCTCTTGCAATGAAAGAGGTACTTTGAACAGAATCAGAATCAGAGCTTTTTATTGTACACATGCAGTCAACTTACTGTTCATGAAAAGGGATATTTTTTAAGCATCTTCTCTCTGTTTAATTTACTGTTCTAAGCATTGTTTTATTCATTAGCTTATTTTCATCTTGATAATTTGTTTTGTTTTCTCTGCTGTTACATTTTTGACCATTATATTCTTGCTGTTACATTCTTGACCAAGGCACTTTCCTTCCACAACTTCTTTACCCAATAATGACAACAAAAATTCAAAAAAATATTCTTATTTTGTAGCAAGTTAAGGGCCAAAATCTGTCTTTTGGTACTTACATGCAGTCATCTTTTTAGTGAGATTTGCAGTTACATTACTGAAGCTAGAAATATGGCCTGTGCATCCCAGTTCTCCCCTTTGTGTAACTACTATAAGTCACTGTTTCGAAACATAATTATATTTTACATGTTTCAAAATTGAGAGAAAAATGTTATTAATTATCTTCTAGTGTTTACATACGTAGCCCTTCTTGAGATCTTCTGAAGACTGATGGCTAATCTTTCATTGCATCATATGCTTTGCACTTGGTCTCTAGTACATTAAGTGGAAAAACCTTTTGAGTTGTGCCTTCTTGTCCTTTCATTATACCAGAGGTTTTGCCAAGAGATGGAAAAAAAATACTCTAATGTGCATTCAACCGCTCCTGTGGAAGGGTCCCACTCCACTCACTCATCCCAATTGCTAGCTCTCCAAATGTCATCAGGGCTTTGCTGACTCCTCTGAGGCACAGTCTAAGGAGAGCTTATGTGGCCATTGGGACAGATGAGTTGTGCGAGTGGGATTGTAAGAGTGTTTTGTTTTAATTCCTGGCATCTTGGCTCATGTAATATGCATGCCCAAGACGAGAGTACTGAGGATACCACAGAGAAAGGCAGATTTTCATTAGTTGCTCATAACTCTGTGTCATGGTACTGGGGAGCAAAAGGTTCAATAGTAGCTAGTGAGAATCACAAAAAAACCTTTCAGTCAGCTTATCCTAGCTATTACATCATCACTAAAAAATTGGACCTGATCATCAGAAAGTACCTTATTACTTATTACTGGAGAGACCAATCTCTGCAAGAAGCAGAGCCAAAAAAAACATATTAGGTGATATGACAATAACATTATTTTTCACCTCTGCAATTATTTCATACCAGTGTATTTTTGCTGTATGTTTAAGAGTATTCAATCTAGATTCTGAGTTTCAGTTTTCAAGGTGAGATCCCAGAAGGCCTATTGGTTTTCACAGCCACTACTGACTTGAAAACCTAACAGAACATTGGTTTGCTTTTTGATTTATTAGGAAGCAGGCTTAACTGAACTTGCTGGCTGGAATCTGTATAAATCCTGCTGGATTTCTGCTTTGCACCTGCAGAAGCAGATTTAGAGCTACTGCCCTCTGTGGATACTATGCATTAGCAGTATAAGAGAACTGTTGATAAATTAAGAAAATTGCATTGGAAATGTACTTTGCTGTAACCCTGCCCTGCTGGAGTTGGAGGCAACGTTCCTTGTGAGACTTATGGGACAGCTCTAAATTCAATACTTTGGGCAATATCTTTCTTAGTGTGCTGGGATATATCCCTAGAAATAATGTACAGATAAATGCATGTTATTTATTGCTTAGAAATTGTCATAACTTTTTATTGTTTTATTTATTATAGCCAGAAAAAAAAGACTGATCTGGGGAAGAGTGGAAAAACAATGACAATATATCTTTCTTGCATAAGACAAAGGTAAGATTTAGAGGACTGCAATATTGCAAGTACTTATTTATAGCATAATAATAACTATGAGGTAATTTTTTAAGTTCCCAAATGCTGGCAGCTTTTTATTTAAACTTTTCCAGACCTTCACAGTCTTGGCTGCCTAAGAGCTGGTGCTTTAAAATTCTGAGTCCTTTCCAATTCACTGATACAATGAGTCCAATGCAAGGTACTATGTATGCCATTGGACCCACCTGTTCTGTACTAGAGCAGCAAAGGTTGCATTTCATTTTGTAGCAGCATGTTAGAAGTGCAGGCATTTCGGGTTCTTCAATTTATGTTATCTCTGTTTTGGGTTTGTTGAAGAAAGGGTTCTTTATTATTTGTTTGTTTATTTCACACTGTCCCTCAGAACCTATAGCTGTAAGTGCCCCAATTTTCCCTGGGGCTTCTTTTTTTCCTTTTTCTATGGTCTCAGGTACCCAGTTGTGAATGTAATAATATATTTCATTCCTCCTCTCATATATTCCTCCTCTCATATATTCGTTGTTCCAAGAGCTGGTGTCTGTGCAAGTTCCTAATCAGGTTATTTTTGACCTTTTATAAGTTCGCAAATGAAGAATCTAACTGTGTTCATTATCCTTGAAACAGATAGACTTGCTAGCCACCAACATGGCTAGCCACTAAAATGGCATAAAATGGCTCTAGGAAACAGTAAAGTGTGCTTTTCCAAAACCAGCATCAGAATGCAGAGCTGTTCAAGAGCACACAAACTTTAGGCAGCCAGGCTCTTGCTAGCCTTCCCAGAGGGTGCTATGTCAGATGGAGAGAGGTCCAGAAAAAGGGAGCAGACATACTGACAGGGAAGCAGGCTTCACAACAGAGGAAACAATGAAAGATAGAGAGATCATTTCAGCCATTGAGCTGGCGCAGGCAGGAAAACCCTGTCTGGTGGTTTTAGTGTCTTCATGTCCGAGGTGAGGGTTTGGTGATGTGCACACTGACTGCCAGGGTAATGGCTCCCAGATCTGCTCCTTTTCTGTGACTGCTCAGGTAGTAGTATGACAGGGAAGGCAGTCAGATGACAGAACTGACTCACCTGAAGGCCAGCCTTTATGCCATTTAGTGATATGATTTTGGCAAGCAGGGCTAATACTTGGTCCTTCACCAGACTTGCTTTAACCACAGTCCTCAGAAGCTTGCAATTAGTCATGGCTAAGGGAATGTGAATCTATAGCTCATGTGAGCAAAATATTTCCCTAACATAAACAAAACAAAGATCTTTTTCCATCGTTGGAACTTTCTCCTGAGCAGAGTCACTATGACGTTCTGCGTTTTGATAGCGGCTCAAGTCAGATGAGGAAGGAGATACGAACCATATGCTTCTTGTCAAATGAAGATGAATAAAGAATTTAAGTTGACATAGATGCAGGTAGTTACACTTCAGTTGCCTAAAGACAAGACAGAACAGTTTGTGCTAATTTATAGGTGATTTTAATAGTAACTCAATTTAGAAAAGAACAAAGAGTTGAATGAATAAATTAAAAAGCCTAAAAAAACTACCTCCAAAGCTGAAAATTCTGTTAAAATACTACAAATATTCTCAGGAAATATCCTGATGACTTAGAGTATTCAGTGGAGATGAACACCCAGCCATTTGAACTATCTATTGCATCTGGGGCTGGAATTGTAAAAATTCTTCTCGTCGATCAATTAACTTAGCAAGATACAATTCTTTGAAATTTGATAGTGATAGAGCTTTGCCATGGGGAATACAAAAGAAAAGCTGTTACATTTTATGTTTACAGCAGGTCTGTATATAATGCAATATTGATAAGTATTTAATGGGAAACAATACACAAGATAGTCAGTATTCTTGTACATTAAAGTATGCTCTTTAATGTTTCTGTTATTTTGAATGTGATATTGCTGACTTGTAATGTGCCCATGCCCTGGAGGTATTTTGGAGACATGCGGACATGGCACTAAGGAACATGGTTTAGAGATGGGATTTGGCATGTCAGGACGATGGTCTTAATGATCTTAAAGGTTTTTTCTAGCCAAGATAGTTATCAAGCTAGATATGGGTAAACTTAGTTCTGCATGGTGATTCAGCAACATAAATAAGAATAAACGAGTTCAGTTCTGCGAAAAAATTCTAAATCTAGTAAGAAGAGAGCTTGTGTTACAACTAAAACTTGTGATTCCTAGCAGCTGGAAGTATTAATTTGTTTTCCCATTTTTTCAGGTATTGCCTACAATAAATTCACTGAGCAAGAAATACAGACTTCTGTCCAGTGCTATGAAAATTAACCAAGGCACATTAACTTCAGGAAATCTTCAAAGGTATGAAAATAAAATGCTTACTCAGTAATTATTTAAACCAAACAAGCCATCAGCATGTGCTACATGGCCTAAGTATTATGTCAGGTCAATAATTAAGCTGTAGTAAATCTTCTGGAGATTCTATTCTGCCAAACTTTAAAGACTCAAGGCTAACCCAAGGACCCTTAACATTTTCATGAGGAAGCAAATGATTGTACAGATAGCTTCTCAATCAAAGTTTGCTATTATTAACTTTCTGCTTTTAAAACATCCAGAAATTGTGTGTTTTAAGTTTGTTGAGTAATATCCTGTAAGCAAAATATGCGCCTTTCTTGACTTTACTAAGAGGAATATTTTATAGACTTGAGTTCTATCATGATAAAAATACTCTTTTTCTGCAGGGAAAGATACACATTAAGCAAAAAGTAGTGTCTTGGAATTTTCCCTTGTTTATGTAAACCTGATGATTATGAAAACTCAAAGCTAATCTCACTACATGCAGCTGGTCATGGTAAAGAAAAGTACTAAGCAAGCTGTCCTGTGTGACTCTGACAAAGTAGTTCTAAAAGATGTGCACAGTGATGTGCTTTCAAGGCCTGGCTGACTTTTAGGTGGAATTAGGCAGCCACTGCAGGTTCTATGGTGGCTTTGTGATATGAGAATTAAGGCACAAGCCTGAAAGTACCAAATCATATATCTCAACAAAGAAGAACACAAAGCCACATGACAGAGCACAGAGCAGTAATATAAAATACTCTGAGATTCATTTTTTCACCTGCCTATATTATATTCTGTCACCTCATTTGTGTGGACCATTTGTGTTTAAACAATTTGCGAATGTATATGATTTAATAGCAGATATATATGGGGTGGAGGTAAATTTAGATTTAAACTTAAGACGTTGCTAGTAATGAAAGACATCTGGTATTCATGAAGTTTATTTCTTGTGCAAGTATTCGTATGGAATTCTTGTTTGTAAACAGTCATTGTTTGACATGTAAGCTCACGGTGTATTTGAATTACATAATACTTAAGTTACCAGATCTTCAGATAATTTTCGTAACAATAAGAATGAATATAAGATTATTCCATCAATAGTTTACTTACTAATCTGATTATTCTTTTAAAAGGAGTCATCTTTCAAAATTATATTGTAATACTTTTTGCACTAGGAGTCTTGTGATTTTATTATTTATTTTGCAAATTTAAATAGTAGTCTTTTATATAGTCGGTAGAATTTATTTAGTTATCTAGTTAGCTCTCTTGCATAATGTACACTGAAGGAGTCCCCTGTTTGAAGTAGGAAGCACCTTTCAAATCAAAAAGAATATTATTTTCAAGTTTTTCAATAAAGTATTTGCCAAATCCTTATCAGAGCAATAGCTTCCAGAGTAAAGGTGTATTCCTGGAGGCATGGTCTGTCTTCTTCATTTTCCCTCCAGGTCTATGCCTTCATATTGGTCTCATATAATATGTGTATTGTTTTCTTGCATACAGAAAATTCTAGCTGTCTTGTACCATCTATCTAGCCATTATCTCCAGTTCCAACTCAATGTTATCTGTCAGATTTATCTAGAAATACATTTTTTGTAGGTTGCTTGTAAAGAGGTTAACCGGAGGAGAGCCAAGAAAATGCATGCTTTGGCTTTCTGTGGAAGTGGAAATGATGTGTAATGATTTAGATCATATCATAGAACCATAGAATGTCTTGGGTTGTAAGGGTCCTTAAAGATTCCCTAATACCAACCCCCTGCCATGGGCAGGGCTGCCACCCACCAGCTCAGGCTGCTCAGGGCCCCATCCAACCTGGCCATGAGTGCCTCCAGGGATGGGGCACTACAGCTTCTCTGGGCAGCTGTGCCAGGGCCTCACTGCCCTCTAAGTAAGGAATTTCTTCCTAACATCTAATCTAAATTTCATCTCTTTTGGTTTAAAGCATTTCCCCCGTATTCCGTCACTATTAGACTGTGTAAATAGTCAGTCTCCCTCCTGCTAATGAGTTCCCTTTAAGGGAAGACCACAATGGGGTCTCCTCACGTTGTTCTCCAAACTGAACAAGCCCAGCTCACTCAGCCATTCTTCATAAGAGAGGTACTCCAGCCCTCTGATCATCTCCATGGCCCTCCAATGAACTGGCACAAACAGATCCAAGTTCTTCCTGAGTTGGAAGCATCAGGTCTGGACTCAGTACTCCAGATGGGGCCTCAGACAGGCAGAGCAGAGGGGAACAATCACCTCCCTCACCCTGCTGACTACCCCTCCTTTGATGCAGCCCAGGTTACTGTTGGCCTTCGGGACTTTAAGAGCATAGTGCTGGCTCACGTTCAGCAAAAGAATGACATTTTCTTGGAGAAAATGAATTGGATTATTATTTGCAATGCCTTCTAGTTCTATTGAATGAAATAAAGAGTGATCTTTTTGGTGTTGTTTCCAGTCTACCAAAGGCAGGAAGCACAAAGTCTTTTTATTGGATGGTTTCCCAGCAATTTTTTGTAGATCCAATGGTTAATATTTTTCAGAAGAAGCTTGGGTAGTGTTTATCTAACCTGAAAATTTAGACTTTCACTCTTCATTGACTGCATCATGCACTTTTGTAGAGTGATTTCTCAAGAAAATCTTATAAACATACCTTTCTTTTCTACAGATTTACAGTCATGGAATCTCATACAATGAAACTGTAACTGTGAAGTATGCATAAATGTAATTTGTATTTGTTGCATCAGGAATGCCTTCAGAATATTTATAATGAAATAAAGTGTTATCATTTGTACCATGTACAAAATAGCTGGAAAGTTCCAAGAAAAATAAAAAGGTGGCTTTTTGACCTGAAGCTTAAAAATCATGTCTCTTATGTATATAATCTATTAATGACACTCTTAGTGCAAGGACTTTCCTGGCACATTATCTGCTGACATTCCAAAAGCCAACTTCAGCTAATTAAGTTGAACAGAACTTAACCCTTGGGGTTAGGTCTTTTAGAAATGTAGTTTCATTAGTGCATATATGTTTATCCCAGCCTCAACTCCAAACAGGTTTTTGGATCCCAGTTTATCAAGTGTAAGAGCTTGAAAAACTGATTTCATTTAATATTAAACGAGTTCGATCTTGAAGTAAAAACCAAAGATGCTTGTGTTATGGTATTTCTTTACAAATAAGAGGGTTGAGGAGAGGTAGACTGTGTGATCTGAGTTCTTCAGAATTCTTCACTGTCCATTGGTGTCTCCAAGCAGAATATCTTGCAGTAGCTCACTGAACAGTCAGATGAGTCTCACAGAAGAACTCAGAAGATCCCCACAGGCAGTAGGTTGATAGGAAGCATGGACATACAGCAAGTGCAAGTAATGAGTTTTCTAAATCACCCTTCATTTTACTGCGTGTAAACTGAACCATTGTCAGTGATCTATCAGCAGGAGGAATTGCTGAGCATCTTCCTGAAAGGTTTACAGCAGAACTACATATTTTGAATTTTTAATTTTTTTTTTTTTTTTTTTTGAGGTCCTTCTGTGTTCTGATACTTCAGTTTTATTTGCTGTCTACACAGGATACAGCCACATCATGCTGAATCTGTAATCAGGCAGCCTTACTCTAGCCAGGATCTTGTCATGGTTTTCACCCCCTTGTTTAAAGGTGTTTTTTTTTTATTTGATTGTTTGTTTGTTTTTAATTATACTCTTAAAAGACTACAAGAAATACCTATCAGAAATCAGGAAATCCCATGGAAAGACTCTTCCAACACCTCAGAGGTACATCTCTGAGTCATATGCCTCTGATCATAGGCATACACATTCAGACTTGTACCCACACAAAGTTTTTCTACTAGGAAGCATGTGCTTAAGTATTATTCACTGCATCCCCAAATGAATTCTGCCATCAGTGGTCTCTGTTCTAGTTCATTAGTATATTCCACTTCAGAAACAAAATTGATTCATTTTCCTTTTTCCTCTCATGCTGTCAAGTTTCTGTTTGAAAAAGAGGATTATGTAGAAAGGGATTATTAGCTGAAAGGTAAAGGGTTTTCCCCCTAAATGCATTAGAGTAAATGTCTTTTAATAGATGTAGTAGATAAAATGAGATAGACCAAGGAGACACACCTTTGCCCCTTTGTTTCCTCTTTTTTTGTGACTTTCTTGCCCACAGCACACTTCTGACCTGGCTTAGTGAGCGCCCATCCCGTTTGCTTACCTTTCCTTCTCACACATGAGCCATGTATATGTTGTTTTGTTTTTTTTTTTAAATATACCCAATTGATTAACATCCAGAGGGAGTTTCCTGCAGTATATCAGTACAGTAGAAAGTCGTGTACTTGGATTCTTTGCTTTAGAAGGTGGGAGGGTGAAGATTCTGGGATTCACTTGTATATCCTTAGCCTAACATGTCACTTATATGAAGCAACAGGCATTTGTTTGCCCCTGTGGCTGCTCATCCCTATTAAATTAGTTCACACCAGTAGAGCTCCAAAGACAAAGCATGAAGTTTTTCTCCTTCATTTCCTCCTGCTACTTAGTGAAAGGGATTCTCAGCTGCTGATTAAGTTGCTTCACTGCATTTCTTACCAGCATGTTTCTCTGCACTGCACTCCTTAATGAGGAGTATGCAATCAGCAGTTAGGTGACTGGTATACTGAGAGTATGCTCAGTAGAAGAGAGACAGGCAAATATATATATATATTTATTCAAAAAACTTCTTTCTAACTCCTGTGCCAAACTGAAGGCAGGAGCTTTCATGTAAGTGTACTATTAAGAGTTCAAGGTCAAGCTTTCAAAATGCCAGTCTTTGGAAGTATTTATGGACATTTAGGTGGTGTTCCCACATTTAGACGGTGTTTTTCTCCTGTAAGAGCCAGCTCACTTCCTTCCTAACCAATATCACTTGTATTATGCTTCAGTGGAAAAGTGGTGCTATTCAAGGGCATCAAAATACAACACATGTAGTCTGATAAAAATACTTTTAGTATTGCACACAAGGAATGTTTTTAAAGTAGAGTTTATAAAAGAATTGTATGTGACATTATTTCCTCTACC